GTGAAACATTTCACTCAATTGCAACTTCATTTCATAGGTTCACATGTTCACAAAATCCTTTTGGAACATTGAGGACATAGACATAATGATGCAATAGACCTTTTTGACAAATCTACATGTTTGTGGGAATAACAATTTAATGAAAGTTGACGCATTATTGATTTTAGAGATATGCTCATTTATGGACATCTTTCCCAATATCAGAACGAGGAAAATCCTCAACAAATTAGCAGTTCCCGATAGAGAATAAAGAGAAGCTAGAATTAGAATGTATGCAAGGAGGTGGAAGAAGATTCCATCTAACCTAAGAGAGAAAGTTTAAATAAGTTGATTCAATCCTTAATTATTAACCGAATTTTAAATTAAGGCTAGGGTCCATAAATACAATTCGTAATATGAAGAGGGATGCCGTAGTCACATCACAAATCTATTTTAGGTAGGCAAATGATTTTACCAATTTCAATCACATTGAATTTACTAGATCTTTTGAGATTTATTGAAAAATCAATGGTGTGTTAATCTCAGATTATGATCTTAGATTTGTGACTGGGATGCTGAGGATCACAAACAAGATGTAAACAACCATGCAAACCTGCATGGCACCATTGATGTCGTTTATGATCTTATATTGACGTGTCGTTTAAACACAGACGCTCCATCAACAATCATAAATTTTTAGTATGTACCATCATTTCAAATTTGTAGTCCCACATTAATGTGTCGGTTACCCATACACGCTCCACTAACGACTCACAAAGAAACGATGTGTGTTTTCATGGATTAACATACAAATTTCACATTTTCCTAAAGTAACTAGAGTGAGATTTTATATAAAGTTATAGTACTTTATACATTATACTTTTAATTAATGTGATTAGTGTCCTATCAAACCCGTTTGGCTAACGACCCTCCACCATACAAACAGGCGATAGGTGAAAAGGACACCCATTCAACGGTCATTTTATAGGCTGTTTCCTTATACATCTCTTATAGTGAGGCTTCATGAATGAGGCATATTATTGATTTTACTAACTTTTAGTTATACATATAGTAATATACTATTATACATATGTATAGGGTGTATTTTAAAACCTTTTTAAATTACAAGGCTCGAATCATATTAATTCAATTAACCTTTAACTAATTAATGTTTGAACTAATTAAGATTTAATAATTATCTTTAATCAAACTTTTAATTAATTAATATAAATCTTATTAAAAGATAATAATATTATCTAATTATCTTATAATTTGATAATTACCTTTTTAAAAGCTTCCTTATATTCAAATTAGGATTATTAATTATCTGGTTGTTATATTCAGATTTTAGACACTTAAAATAATATTAGATAACTAATAATTATTATATCTTTTGAATAAGGCAAGAGAATTTCGAAATTGGATTTCAGGCAGTCGCCACGACGTGACCATAACAAATTATCGATTTTTATTAATTTTTTGCTTTCATCTTTAGGTACTATTAACTGAACAAGATAGACTCTGATACCACTATTCGAGTTTTTAGGTTATAAGAGCAATGTACTTGCGGAATTTCACATAACACTTATGGGTACATGCAACCTAAATGGATCTATGGGTTTTCACTATTAATTGCAACATACTTTATAAAACAAAACTTTTAACCTACTATAACTGAAATTACTAGTCAGAAACATATCGTTAACATAATCAAACATGTTAAACTCTTGAGATCTTCAATGTCCATGGAAATTAAGCGCCAAAAGTATGTACGCCTCTAATGGTTCACACCTAAAACCCTAGAACACTAGAAAGACAATAGGAGAGTGGAGGAAGGAGGAAAATTTCGTTCTCCAACTTCTAGGTATGAGAAGTCACGAAAATTAGATGCCCAATGGTCCTATTTATAGTTTAGGTAACTTACAGATAAATCCATATTTTAATAATTAAATAATAGATTTAATCCCAATTTCAATCATTTCCTTATTAGCAACAAGGAGGCTTCTGGAAACCCTAAAGAGGCTCTCAGAACCGTCCATACCATGGATGGTTCTAGAATTGCTTCTTTTGTTCAACAATTGAACAATTACAATTAACCCCTTACACCTTTAATTAATTTAAATTAATCCCTATTTAATTCCAGATTAATTCTGAATAATAATTAATTAAATTTGACTATCTACAATTAATTCATGATTAATTATTAACTATTTATAGTTAACTTATTAATCACATAATAAATTAACAAAACATTCTCTCTCTCTCTCTCTCTCTCTCTCTCTCTCTCTCTCTCTCTCTCTCTCCTAAAGTCATTTCAAATTATATATAACTTTTAAGGACAACCCAAAAATGACTTTACTTTCATTACATAAATTTATATTAATTTAGTCATGAAGTTGACTAATTTAATTATGACATTGGACATGTATTCCAACACAATCACTAATCCCACATGCTATGATTACAATTCTCCCTAAATTTATTATGAAGGATGGAATCAATCATTCCATGGATGAAATGACGATTACTTTGTGGCTCTAGTGATTGAATCAAACTTCAAAACTCATATTAATTCATGAATCTCGAATTCCATGTGAGTTACGGTTGGAAAAATCCAAAAACTCCATCAAACTCTAAACCACACCACTATAATGGAAATAGTGGATTATATAATGAACAATGAAGTGATTCAAAACTAGAAAATCATTCAATCATTAATAATTCATTTTATTCCTACAATTATTCCTACCCACTAAAATTATGACAAATCATCATTCAAATTAATTTTATTTGATATATTTTTAATATAGCATTAATGAGTTAGTTAGAAAAATATGGAATGATGACACTTGTCATAATTTTATTGGGTAGAAACATTTTTAGGCATAAAAAGTAGGAAACAATTTAATTTCTCATAATGAAATTTGTATTTAGAGATGATTGTCAAAGCCTTAAAAATAAAATTGAAGAGATAACGAAAGATAGCTATCTTCAGAGACTATTATGGAAGAATAGATCTAAAATCCTCAAACTCTACTTGAATCTCTCTTTCTCTTAACCTCTAGTTCCTTGAAATATCCATTCATAAACACTCACATCTCATTGATTCATTTGAGAGAGAATGAATTAAAAAGGAAGTGTGTTTGAAGTTTTTATATTCTACATTTACGTTTTTTACCCTCAAGTGCCACCACTTAATATAATATAACTAGTTAACTAGTCTTCCTTAATTTACATTCGTAACCCTTCCCCACCACATTCCTAACATTTTCATTCTCTTACAAGTCAAGATGAAGTCAAAGTCAAGTTTATTAAAATTTTCATATTTGGTTCCTTATGTATTTTCACAAAGGATATCTACTATCATTTCTAATCTAGGGATTTCGACTTATACTTTTAAATATGATTTTACTAAAACATTAAATCCCAATAATTCATTAAACTAAGGTCATACTTAAGTTTATAAAACTTGGCAACTTTGACCCCTTTTTAATTCTAATTTCTTTTAAACCTTAAGTATGATCCCCTAATCACCTACATGCTTTAAACTTACTAATAATTAGTTGTTTTTATTGTTTTTATATTTTATTTTATTTATTTATATTTATATTTTATTTTCCAACAAATTTTAATATTTTACTAAAATGGCCCAAAAACTTCTAGGCCTAATTTGAAGATGTTACAAGTACCATCAATGGAGGATCACCAATTCATACTTGTAATTAAAAGTATATGGTGTATTGATTGATTCATTTGTGTTTGGTTTTGGAGTCAAGTGTTTTATATTCACTCATGTGGTTATTTAAGAAGTTTGGTGTTTAAATTAAAGAAGATGATGACGATCCACTTAAACAATGGGTTAACATCCCAAATATGAGAAAATGACTTTAAGATTTTTTTGAAATACTATATGTATATCTTGCTTGTAATAATATATGTATTTTTATTATTATTATTTTTTTGCATTCACTTTATGCAAATTTTTAAAAAAAAATAGTTTTTTGTGATTATGGTGTCTTTTAAATGTCCACATAATGTTTTTAAGACTTTTAGAGAAAGATTATTAAAGTATGGATATCTTTCAACTGCTTACTTAACGTTTTATGACATTTTGAGTTCTTAAATCATTATACTATGATAGTATGCATCCATACATTAGGTAAGCTCTGAGACTAGTATGGTCTGGGCACGTATAGTAAATTAGGATACCGAGACCTTAAGAATTGAGTTATGAATGGCATTTTAGAATTCTTTCATGGTGTGTTGCGAGTTGCAAACCTTTGGAGATTAATCTTGGGAGTCCATTAAAAGAAGAGGGATATTGACTTTGCAAGTAATAGAAAACTTGAGGTTATATCATATATTGCATCTATTTATATTGTTTATCTTTCAGTGATGTTTTGTGAATATTTTGATGCTAATAAGAGTGTACTAATATTTTTGTAATGTTTTCTCCAAATTGAGTTTAGAATACTTTAAAAAGGTTTTTTTAAATGAGAAGTGTTAAAAAAAATGTGACAATTTCGAAAGAGTAGAAGTTAAAAGTGCAAAATTGAAAATACAAAATTGGATCTATCAATCCATTAACTTTTATGAAAAGTTAAATGCATTGAAGATTACCGGACAATGATTGATTGTTAGGTTTTTCATCATATTTATAGAATGAACAATTATTTTATTAAAAATTATGAAATTAAATTCCTTCCACAAACATTTCAACCGTTAGATTCGATATTTATCATTACATTCATTTGATTACGCCAAACTCTTCTTCAACTGACTATATTGCATCGTTTGTTGATGTTTGAGTACAACTTATGTCTAGAAATCTTATAAGTTATATCACTCACAAGTCACAAGTGAAAACGATAATAAAACCATCTTTAAGATTGGATTCTCTAACAGGCTCTTGAAAATGCTGTTGAATGTAAGACATGGCTAATCAAATTTTCAATTAAGTTTTCTAAAATCTACTTAACTAATTTTGCATTACATAATAAGGAAACGAGTAAACGAATTATTCATAGCCAAAGGGCTCCTGCTTTCTTCAGAAGCGGCACCAGTGTCCCATTGATATGCGCAGCCATCACTCTATCCATCGTCCCCACTAGTTTCCCGCCGATAAACACCACCGGAACCGCCGTGGAGTTGCCCAAAAGCCTCACCAGAGCCTTCTCTATCTCTCTTCCTCTGATGGGATCCTCATCGAGCTCATAGACAGTTGGGTTCACACCCATCCCGGAGAAGAGGCTCTTAACGGCGTAGCACATGCAGCAGGTGCTCAGACTGAATATTACCACCGCACTTTGTGACGCCAGCTTTGCCACCCTCTCTAATGGATCAAATGCCACCGTGGGGTGGTGCCTTACCGGCATGTAGTTGCAGTAATAACCGGTGTTGGTTGTACTCCTCCATGACTCAGCTGCAGCTGCTGCTTGATATTGCATTGTGTTTCTTTAATTAGTTGAAGTGGTGATGAGTGAATAATGAAGATGATGTGATAGTCGATCGGTATTAATGGCGAAAAAGTGGAGAGTTTGATATGAATACGATGAAGGTGGAGATGGTGGTGAACGGTGAAGGTGGTGGTGGTTATATAGGGATTGACTTTACCTGTTGGTAAAGAGTAAGAGGGTGAGGGGGGACATAAATCTCATATCCCGATAAAAGTATCTAAAATAATTATGGGTTTAATATGCAACCGATTATTCTGATTTACCACATATTTTCCATGTTGATTATAGAAAAAATATTATTCAATTTTAAGAATACAAGTTTGACAATAACATTATAAATAAAAATATACCTCTTTCTGGTAGAAAAATAATAAACTACAAGTCAAAGTTATTAACAGAAAAAAAACTATTGATTTACTTGTATTTTTTTTTTTTAATTTGATTGTAACAGATTATGCTTTCATTTCATTGTTATTTTCATGTTTAGATTGTGATTTTTTAAGATGATTATAGTTCAAAGTCAGCCATATCATTTATTTTTAATCAGTAATGTTTTTTTTATTAACGTTACATTTACGTATCTTTCATTTTATTTTTTAATTATTAAAATTATATCTTATACAATAATCTTGTAGGCTGTAGCCACACTTACAGATAAATACTAACTATAAACTAAACCCATTTTAAAGATTTCAGTGGAATATTTCTAATGATTTACTTGGTATATAATTTGAGAAGATGCATAATATCACTCCAAAACTTACACTAGATTCCAATATTTTAGTAGGAGATGATTTTTATATCAGAACATCAAATTTGATGTTTTCATGTATACACTCCAGTGACTAAGATTTTTTTTTTTGTTTTGTTATTTTTTTTTGTAGAAAAAAGATTAAAAATAGAAATAACTAGGGGTATTTTGGGGTTCTAGGAATGAGACAAGACAACATAATTATAGGGAGTAGGAGTATATGAAAATTAACAAATTAATGTTTGATTGTATGATAACAAGGAGGCAAAATAGTTTAGACTGTATAAAGTTGGTGCTACGTTGCTTTCTCATGTCTAATTTAAACATGTACAAACACACACATACACATATATATACATACACATATGACAAATATATATATATATATATATATATATATATATATATATATATATAATATATACACAGGCTGCAGGTGGCTGCGTATGTCCTTGTTGTCGGAGGTCTACCTTTTATCTTTATGTGTACTATTTTCATGCCAAACGTGCAGTAACGATGCCAACGTATACAACTTCAATGTCTATCCTTTTTCCTGCTCATACACCATTATTAATATTTTTATTATAATTTTTAATGATACATAACCTAGAAGAATCTAATGATTTACGGGCACATGTATATGCTGAGAATATGATAAAGAAAAGAAGTGATTAATTTGATTAATTTGACGAGACGAAGGGATAGTAAAAAGTGTGGATTGTGTGGCAGATGATATACTCTGCAGCAGGGTGTGTATACCTAAAGCAAAGACATGTTTTGCAGTGCAGGCATATGTATATATGGAAGGGCGGGTTGCGCGTGGTGGTCTTTCACGACCAACAGGCGGCGGAGATGCACTCCTGCCCGGTCACCACCCCTCCTCCTTTTCTGGATCCTTTCCTTTTATCTTGGTTTTCTTTTCCAAAACACACAACCAAATTAAGCGCAACTTATATTCTTCTAATATCCATAACCTTTACTTTACTTTTTATAT